GTCTCACTCCTTTCCTGTGTGCACAACTCCTACCCCTGTCCTGGCTGCTCTTCTGCCCAGGAGGTGGAATCAGCTTTCCCAGTGTTTTCTTTGAGCTACCCATGTGATGTATTTTGACCAATGTAAATTCCAGAGGCAGTTGGCTGTGAGGTGCTGCCATGTGAGGAAGCCCAGCTAAACCTATAGATATGTGCAGGCTGAGTCCCTAATATCCAAATCCCTGCATCCTCATGAGTAACCCCAGGAGAAACACTTGAGTGAATCCTCACCTGAGCTTTTCCAGATGTTGACCCATAAAACTGTGGACAACAAAGGACTGGATATACAGCTCAGCAGTTAAGATAAGTTAAGATTGTTCTCTTGGAGGACCCAGGTTCAATTGCCAATACCCACATGGCAGCTCACAGCTGCCTGTAACTCTAAGATCTGACACCCTCACATAGACATACATGCAGGAAAACACCAATGCACATAAAAAATAAATTTAAAAAAACAAATTGTGAACAGCATGAAACAAGTTAGCTGTGCCCACTGAGCTTTAGGGTGGTTTCTTATACAGCAGAAGATAACTGGCACACACCCATTTGTCTGGCCTCATCTTTATCTGTTTGCCAGCAGCATTGGTCACCATTCCCAGAAACCACAAGACCCCTCCATGCTTCAAGGCCTTTTCTGCTTGTTTCTGTGTCTACCTTTGCTGAACTCAGTCATCCCATCACCTGGATCCCATGGCCCTTGCATTTGTATTGCAGTTCTGTTAGTTGTTTATGGTTGCCCTCACAAGAAGCCACTTGATGGAAGAAACAGTTTCCTGTGGCTGACAGTTTGGGCTGAAGCCCTGTCATGGTGGCGAAGAAATGGCAGCAGGGGTGAGGCTTCTTGTTTACATCTGATGGAGGAAGAGAGCAGAGAAGGAGCCCCCCCACCCCTTTTTTCTATATTTTTTAATGGCTGAGGTTTTTTTTTTAAGATTTATTTATTTATTATGCATTCTATGTTCTGCCTGCATGTATGCCTGCACAACAGAAGAGGGCACCAGATCTCATTACAGATGGTGGTGAGCCACCGTGGGGTTGCAGGGAATTGAACTCAGGACCTCTGGAAGAACAGGCAGTGCTCTTAATCGCTGAGCCATCTCACCAGCCCCCCCCCTTTTTTTTTTCCTAATTTTGAGCCTCCTGCTTTCACCTCCTGACTGCTGGCATCACAGGCATGTGCTTCCACTTCTGGTTTATGTGGTGTGGGGGATAGAACCTGGGGTATCTGCATGCTAGGCAAGCAGTGAACCCATGGGCTATATCCCCTTCCCTTTGTATTCAGTTCAGGACCCAAGCCCATAATTGGCTCTGCCTACAAAGTCCTCTCTAGAAACTAATCTAGTGCCCTGGAATCTCTCTCTTTTTTTGGGGGGGCGGTTCAAGGCAGGGTTTCTCTGTGGCTTTGGAGGCTATCCTGGAACTAGCTCTTTTATACCAGGCTGGTCTTGAACTCACAGAGATCCTCCTGCCTCTGCCTCCTGAGTGCTGGGATTAAAGGTGTGTGCCACTGCCTGGCTACCCTGAAGTCTCTGAATCCAACTGAGGGTGGAGGGTAGACACCACTGTCCAATTGAGGGTGGAGGTTAGCCATTGCTGTCCTACTGAAGGTAGAAGTTAGCCATTGCTGTCCAATTGAGAGTGGAGGTTAGCCATTGCTGTCCAATTGAGGGTGGAGGTTAGCCATTGCTGGTGCTTGCCAGTGCAGTACTCTTTGTGGATTACATGCCTAAGAGCTCCTTGAAGACAAGAGTGGCACTTGTTCAGGACTAGGTCTCCAGCACCAACAAGGTTCTGCCTGATTGGATAATGGAAGCCTCTGTGCTGATAAATGTGTCAAGTCAGTGGCTTAACCAAGTATCAGGAGCACCCCATAGGCATAGCACATTTTTCTTGGCTTCCATAAAATACCACACATTTCAAAATAAAACCACAGTAAGCACAAGTATCTACCCACACGGAGTGTATTGTGTGCACACAAGAAACAGTTCATTCTGGCCGGTGTTCACTACCTCCTTCTTTCCTCAGCCTTATTTGATTGTCACATTATTTCCCATTACCAAGGTCTTTGATCTCTTAAAAAGACAATACAAGAAGCAATGTTACCTCAACAGATGAGAGCCAGTTTATCATGTCATGCGGGGAAGGGCTGGCAGCAGCTTATAAATGTGACTTTGCTCATGTAACGATGACCATGACCAACAGCTGTTACGTAGAAAGGCATTGTGACACACACATGTAAGTCTAGCATTCTGAATCACAGAACCACTTGGATAAGCTATTTGCAAATTTTATTTCTTATTTTTCCCCCTTTGGACAGGTCTTACTGTGTAGCCTTGGCTAGCCTGTGCACCAGCTGGCCTTGAACTCAGAGGGAGCTGCCTACCTCTGCCTCCATAGTGTTGAGATTAAAGGCATGTGCCATCATATCCAGTAATTTATTTGAATTTTTAAAATTGTGACAAATATGTATAATATAAAATTGAACTTTTAAGCTATTTTTAATGTAAAAATTTGCTACTTTTTTGAGATTTCACACATAAGTACTATATTTATATAATTTCCACCTCTCCCTCTTATGCTGAAACTCCTCTCATCTCCTTGTAACTCCTGTCATGTCCCAACTTCATCTCAAATTCATGACTCGTGTGTGTGTGTGTGTGTGTGTGTGTGTGTGTGTGTGTGTGTGTGTGTGTGTTCTGTTTGTCTTTGGAAACTCTGTGGTCTCCAGGATGAACTTCAACTCTGTACCTTTCTTTACAATAAACATATATACATATACATATACATACATACATACATACATACATACATACATACATACATACATACACTCTTCCACATACATAGAACCTGCTGAGTCCATCTAGTGTTTCTTCTATGTGCATGGGTTTAGGGCTGACCACTTGGGATTGGATAGCCTGTCTTAGGGGCTCATTCCTGGGGAAGACTCTCTCAGCAGCCATTAATTGCCTATAGCTCCACATCTAGTGGTGGGACCCTGTAGGATTCCCCATCTACATTGGCTTGTCAATTGGTGTCACTGTGCAGGTCTTCTTTATTTGAGACCATCTATTTGAGATTTCACATGTACAGCTTCCCTGTCATATATAGAAGACGCTGCCTCACAACAGACATCCTGGCCCTCTACAAGAATCTTTCCTCCCCCTCTTCCATGATGTTTCCTGAGCCTAAGGGTTAGAAGTTGTGTTATAGATATGTCAATTAAGGTTGGGGACCCCAAAGTCACTTCTCGAGTTTTGACTATTTGTAAATTTCTATGATCCTCATTTGCTTCAAGGAGAAGCTTTGTGGCTGTAAGGATGAGTATTGAGAATGCAGTTGGAAATTATCCTGGTTCAGGAAAGTGGCAGTAGTAGGCTCTCCTCTAGGGTCCATGACCTCACCTGTTATGCATAGTTGGCTAGGTTTATTTCTCTCCTGTTTAGCTATCTAATTGATACATACATACCTTAGATAGCTGTTGAATACTCACCAGATAGAAATACTACTACTGCATCCTTGGAGATATTTTGCCATGATGGTCATGTAAGTGTACAACTTAGTAGCATTTATTGTATTCACAGTGTTCTACAAACCATCACCATTATTCATTCCCAGAATTCTTCATCCTTCCAAATAGAAACTCTGTACTCACTAAATAATATAGTCCCGCATTTTCTCTGGCCCTGGACCTGGTACTACCCTGCCATCTGCCTTTGTGAATTTACTTCCTCTGGGTTCTGCACATTTGTAGCCATTGCTGTGCTTGCCAGTGCAGTGCTGTCCTTTAGCTGTCCTTCAGCTCTAGCTTACTTGGCCTTTCATGTCTGTGGAAGTGGAAAAAGTGAGCTTTGTTTAGCATAGCATTTTAAGATTCATTCCTTTTTATTCCTGTTGGATATATGACTTAGATTTGGGGGGACTGACAGTCTGTTTCCAAAGCAGCTGCATCCTTTTACATTTCTATCAAGGTGTATGAGCATTTTGATTTCCTGACATCCCAACTAGCATTTGTTACCATCTTTCTTCTGTTTCTTAATTCTAGTCATCCTAGTGAGGGTGGAGTAGAAGTTCATGTGGTTTTAATTTCCCATGCCAGAGAGAAAGAGATTGGGACTGGGGAGAGAATATCTAATGGCCTTGAAATCTCTTAATTCTTAATGCCTGTTTAAGATCTAGGCTTGCTCAGGTTCTGTTTAGTCCAAAGCATGTAGATTTAGCTTGACTCAAGGCTGCTTGCTCTTTACATCTTCATCTTGACTGCAAAGGTTTTTTATGAGCCAAACTCCTAAGACTGACATTGAAAACTAGTGATTAAATGAAAAGTCACAGAGCATTCACTTCCTATGCAGGTCAGATGTGTCTGTTCTCTTCCTCTGGGGCTGGTGCTCATCAATAAGTACCTAACAGTATGAGTAGGTATCGAGGACATTAATGCTGGAATAATTCCAAGGTTAAGTTATGGAACCCCTTAGAGAGGATGACTGAACTTTACTGAAGGAGAAGGAAACAAGTGGTTTGCAACAAAAAGAAGAAAGGACCATCCAGAGAGGAATAGTCAACATTACAAAAGCCAGTCATAATAGTAATCTGTATGTATTTGTAGACACACATTTATTTTATAAAGGGATGTGCATCCATTGCTACTTACGAACCCTTGGAAACTCGTGGTTCATATCTCCTGTAAGCATTACTTATGCATTTTGAGAAGATGGCCACTAATGTGCCCTATTTTATAGATTGAAATGTTGAGTTTTAAAGAAATCAGAGGATGCCAACTATGAAACATAGTTCGTCCATTTTGAAATTCACTGCTCTTCTCCTATGCTGTGTGAAAGGTTCAATCCTCTAGAAGCAGGAAACGGTCCTCTCCCTAGTAGAGCCCCTAGTGAGGATTGGGTAAAGAGGGACAGCTGACTGGGTGTCCTCAAATTTATAACCTCGGTGTTTGTCTCATTTGAGATCCCTGCAGTGAAGTTGAATGAGCTGCTTGAGAACTTTTATGTCACTGTCAAGAAGAGTGATGGCTCAGACTTCCTGGCTACCTCACTTCATGCCATTCGCCGTGGCCTGGACCGCATCCTGAAGAATGCAGGTGTGGGCTTTTCCATCACCAGCAGCACTTTCAGCTCTTCCACCAAGAAACTCAAGGAGAAGCTGTGGGTTCTGAGTAAGGCAGGGATGTCGGGGGCCCGTTCTCGCAATATTGTCTACTTCTCCCTTTCTGATGAGGAGGAGATGTGGCAGGCGGGGTGTCTAGGGGACGACAGCCCTATTACTCTCCTGTCCACAGTGGTCAAGTACAACAGCCAATATCTGAATATGAGGACGCTGCAGGAGCATGCAGATCTGATGTATGGTGACATCGAGTTGCTCAAAGACCCACAGAACCAGCCCTACTTTGCCCGGACAGACAGTGTCAAGCGAGAGAGCCGCAGTGGTTCTACTAGAGTGTGTCATGGGAAAATCTACCATGAGCATTCCAGGGGACACAAACAGTGCCCTTACTGCCTCCTCTACAAGTACATGTACATCCACCGGCCACCTACCCAAATGGATGCCAAGTCTCCCTTCTACCTTACAGCCAGGAAGGAGGCCACAGACATGGGCAATGTGTGGTATGAAGAGCAGAGGATGGGGCTGCGGTCCCTCCGGGGAATTGTCCCCAATTTAGCCAGAAAGGTCAAGCTGGACAACTGTGAGAACTTCACTTTCGTCTCATTCACTCAGGTCTCCAGGCGGCTTAGCTCCCATAGCTGCTGCCAGTGAACCCTCCAAGGCCAGGCCACTGTCCCACCTACTCACGTAGGAGACTTCCCTCATGTGGCCATGGCCAGAGTCATCAGCAAGCAGGTTCTGAGGCAACAGAGAATGACATCTTCACTCCGAGATCCAGCTGGCCTCCATTACTGCAGCAGGCCATTCCTTAGACTTGAAATTCACTTTTACATAAAAGTAGATGACTGAATAATTTGGATGTTCTATCTAAATGTGTGACACCTTGTTAAATCTTAGAATCTAACACAATATATAATTACTATATACAAGAGTAAAGAAATTCATTTTATCTATCTAGTGCCTTTTTAGCACAGGTTTTCTTGGGGAAAAAATGTTTTAAGTAATTACTTTAAAAATATCCAGTAGCCCAGTAGCTTTAGAATGGTATAGAATTATATACATTTTGTTGGGTTTCTTTTACATAGGGACCTAGAGCAAGAGAGGCAGACATTAGAGAAAAATTGCACTCAACATCCTTTATGTTTTGTTGGTGGGTACTCTGCCAGGGTGGCAGGGCTGCTCACCGAGATAAAAGAAACATTTCCACTGTGCTGATGATAGAGACAGTTTGGTGAAACAAAGATTAATATTCTGAAAGGGTGTTTCTGAGACGCCATCTGCAATGGACTCAATGGTCTGCACCGTGAGGGTTTCTAGTAGTGACAGGGGGACTTGGAAAGCCACCTGTGACCCAAATGTGAAAACCTGAAGCAGAAGTGCCTGCATCTGTCTGAGTTCTCCACACTGTGAGAGCACTTGCTGTTTGGACTTTGTTTTGTTTTGTTTTAATCTGTTTTTCACATCATGCAATTGTCATGTTGGCAAGAGTCCCTGGACATGTAAGACTAGCAGTAATGCTCATGCTTAACTAGGAAAATCAACAAAGTAAGCCACAAAGAAAACAAATTCCCAATTTATTAAGGATCCTGGAAATCTTCTGTGGGTTGGCACTAGTGCTCGGGACACCGATTTAGGCCACCTACCAGGTAAGCAAAACAGCATTGAGGACATGGTGACCAAGTGAGAGGATCACCATAGGTTAGTCATGCATTGTCAAATCATTTCACATGAATAAAACTCAATCTGACCTTGTGTTATTTAAACAGCAGAATTTCCTAGTAACTACTCTGAATACAAGTGTTTAAAAAAGGAGCCCAAAGAGTGCTAATTAGTAGTAGTAGTTTCTACTCTACTTTCTATTCAAGGGAAGACTGCTTTCATTTGTACCATTATGTTCTCATGTGTGCTTTCTGATCCCAAATTAAAACCCCAGTGCAGGTTCACACTGCACGAGTCCTTAAAATAGTCATTTTTTCCAAAGCACTGTTTAATTTTTATTTAAAGTTGCCGTTTTAAAGTCACTCATTAATCACTGAGGTATGTGACACTTTACCAGAGAAGACTCAACCAATGCTGCCTTAAGGACTCATGTTGTTTCTTTTCTAGTGAGTACATGGTTATAGTTCTGTTCACTAGGCAACCTTCCCTGGGTGGTGATGAGTTTTAGTAGCTCCTTCGATGTGTAAATAACACGAAACTAATAATGTGTTTGACTTGACTTGACCCTGTGTATTGGTCTGTAGTGGCTTCCAATCGTGATTTTAGGGTTTTGGTTTAGAAGAGATGGACAAGCTAGGTGTGGTGGCCCCACGCCTTTAATCCTAGCACTTGGGAGGCAGAGGCAGGCGGATATCTGTAAGGCCAGCCTTGTCTACAAAGCTGGTGCCAGGACTACACAGAGAAACCCTTTCTCAGGGGGAAAGGAAGAAGAAGAGATAGTCACAAAATGTTAGGTCAGTCTGCTTTAGTTTGCTAAACACCCAAAGGTCATTTATTTGTGGGAAGCAAACAGTCATCTTGTCACTTCTGCATGTATCATGGAGACATGACTTGTATGACCAAGTTGCAGAGCTTGCAGCTTCATTTCTAATACCTTCATTTTTGTTTTAAATAGATTCAAAATGTTGTCTTTAGCTATACTGGGATCTTTCCAATTTTAACATTTCCAACAGTAGCAATAACTGACCATGTGTTGTCAATATTCCTGTTAACTGGGACTGTGCAATATTCCTGTTAACTGGGACTGTGCAGCCTTTGAATAAGCATCCCTGCCTCAGTTCACAGCCTGTCACCGGTTTGATGCATTGTAAGTTCTTAGAATTCTGAAGTGAACAGTTATACTAAAACCTCAGGGGTCAGACCTTCAGTTACACCTAATGGCATGAGAATTTTTCTAAGTTATGTTGCTTTGGGTCATGGGAATGAGAAAGAACACACTTGCATCAAGGGCTACCGTGCGCCATGTACAACTTTACTGTGTACTTGTGCAGATATGTCTATGTGAAACACACTTTAAATCAACATGTGGTAAAGCTGGGTGAGGCCACTGGCATGCCAAAGTAGTTGTGTGCCCTGATGGCCATGCTCTGGAAGAGGACCAAGAGCTGAGGTTCAAATGAAGGAGTTGTTCTCTTCCAAGCAGTTATTTGCCATCTCCACAGGAAATGTAATCTGCCTTTGGTTTAAGCAGGAGAAAGGAGAATTCCAGAAGGGATAGGGCAAGTTACAGGCACTTTCCCACCTCACCATTGGGTCTCTGTGCACCAGAGTTGGGTGGTTACCCAGAACTTTCAGTCTGAGCTGGGGCAGTAGCTCAGCAGCAGAATGCTTGCCTGGCATGTGTAAGGCTTGGGTTCTGTTCCCAACACTAAAGAAATCAATTCTTTCACCAGTTCACTAGTTCACCCCAATGCAAGTTGTCTCTGGGCCCTGCATGAGGAAAGTTGCCACAGCACCTTTTGTATTGCTGTAAGGGAAGCTGAGGTAAGCATGGTGGCTTACACCTGCAGTGTGAGCCTCAGGAGACTGAGGCAAGAAGATTGCTGTGAGTTCTGGGCCAACCTAGGCTATCATAGCCATCTTGGGTGAGACCCTGTTCTGAAAAACTTAAAATTAGAGGACTAGAGATGGTTCAGCTATTGAGATCATTGTCTGCTCTTCAGAGGACTTGGGCTTGATTCCTGACACCCACATGTTGGTTCACAACATCTGTAAACTCTAGTCCCTGGGGATGTGACACCCTCTTTGGCCCTCATGAGCACCAGGCATGAACACAGTGCACAGGCATCCATGCAGCTAAAACACCCACACATGGAAACAATAAATAAAAGGAGTTGTACTGTTACCTCCCCAGAGCCTATGGACCTCTCTCCGGGGAATGGTTTGCCGGGTAACAGGTTGTTATCCTGATTTTGGAGACCCAGTTGGACAAGAAGAGTTTAACATACAGCTGTATCTTAGGCAAGCAATGGACTGTTGTTGTTGTTGTTAAAACTTTTAGTAACATGGTATCACTCATCTTCTCCATTGTGGAGATTCTCTTCTGTACTTTTTAAACTTGAAGAGGAAACCAAACCTGATCATCTGGTCAGATGAACACACTCAAGCCTATGAAGTCTACCTCCAGCACAACCAAGCCTGATACCTCACACACAAGCAAAAATGAGAGAAAGAAGACCAGGAGTCTCCAGAGGCTTTACAGAAAGTACTTGCATTGTTTTCTATATTTTCAAACAAATACTGTATCCAACCAAAGCTGTGAAAGAAATGGTCTCTTTGGTCATGTGGCCCAGTCCCTTTTCCTTGGATTTTATTCTGATTAGTCAGCTCAGACCCATATATGAAGTTTGAAAAAATGTGAAATTCTGTTACTTTTTTACATTAGTTCAGTCTTATTAAAAGCACTAAGCATTTCAGCATATTCATAGACACAGTCATTAAGAGACACAGTCATTAAGATCTGAACAAGAAAGTATTTATGTGGACATGAAATGCCCCGACAGATCCTGGGGCATTCCTTCACCACTCACTCGGGCAGCTTCTGCTGGCACCCCTACAGCTCTGCAGTGATCTCAGTGGGCTGACTCATCGCCAGCTAACAGGCTATACTGCTAATCTAGCATTTCTCAGTACACTAGCATGTCTTCTTGGGAATTACGCTTTTTCTTAAACTTTCAAGTTTCAAACCTTCTAAAATTATTTTACCTCTAGACAACAGAATGCTATTTTTGTCAGTTTAAGCTAACAGTGGCCATATTGTAACCATTTAAATGAACAAAATGGCTAAAAGATCATCCTTATAGGTATTTATCACTTTATTGCTTTTGTGAGACATTGACTGAAAAAAAAAAAGTTGAACTTGTTGAACTTGGAGCGCGTGACTTCAGGCATGGATGAATCCACACAGTAAGACCTCACAGAAGCTGGCTCATCCTAGACGAACTCCACTCTAGTCTGAGTTGCCACTGTACTTGTTTTGGAACTAAGAGACAGCTGTGAACAGAACATAGTCAAAATTTCAAATGTGTGGACCCTTTATATTTCACTTCTAAACAAAAATTCAATTCCCTCTGTCAAAAGAAAAATATTCCATTGTTTAAGCATTGGTCCTAAGTAAAGATCTTTGTTGAATTCCTTCCAGGTAGATGAATCAATGTAAGTGAAACATGGTTTTACACACCTGTAACCTCAGCGTTGGGGATCTGAGCTAAGAGGATTGCAAGTTCAAGGCTAGCCTGGGCTACATAGCAACAGCTTGTCCTAGGTAAAGAAAACATGAAGTGAGGTAGAATGGTGGTGACTGTAGCCACACCCTCCTCTCTGAGAGAACAGGGACAGGAGTGTGATAATGAAATGAATATCCTTGGGAATTCCTACATCTGACATCACAGGATTTCTTAAAGTCCTTTCAAGGAAGCTGCCCAGCCTTCAAGCCAAGTTTTACTGTTATGCATAGGAGTTTTAGCACTTCTGGCTTTTGTGGTCCAAGAGACTTTCCTGGTGTTGTTGATCAGAATCACATTGTTGCATCCAACCAAAGTTCTTCATTGTTTATCTATTGTAATCTATGTAGAAGTTAACCATTTCAGGGAATACTTAAACATTATTAATTCCATATTATGTTAAGCTTAAGACTCCCCCTTAAAAGAATGGCTAATGTGTTGGTAAGTGCATAGTACTTCCAGCACCACACATACTGACTACAGAGATGCTCCCTCCTCCATTGAAAGGGGAAAGTGCTCATAAGCTTCGTTGTCAGTCCAGCTGCTTCATGTGCAGCTACTTACTACTGAGTCCACCCAGTTTGCAAATGAAGATTCCAATCTGACCACCACTGTGGTAGAGGCCCCCCAGGATCACCTCATTCTTTGTTAACATTCACAGCAGTTTTGTAAAGTACATCTAGTTATTCCCATTTTTTGTTAAGAAACCAAGACTCAGATAAATTAACTTCCCAAATTCTTGTAGAGCTAGTAAGTTTAAGAAGTAAACCAATATCAAGTCTTCTGAAACAAATCCTCAGTTCATTACGGCCCACTGAAGTCCATTTGACTTTGAAATTTTAGCCAGGCACAGTGGCATGTACTTGTGTTCCAGCAGTTGGGAGCTAGTGGTAGAAGGATGAGCGGTTTGCCATCCTTGGCTACATAAGCTAGACTGGGCTATTGAGAGCCTGTCTGAAGAAAACAAAAAAGTTATTAAAGAACTAACCATCTGGAGCCAGCCAGGGGCAGGTTGCAGAATTGGGCCTGGGAATATAGTGAACTTGGTCCATCAGAGCACATCTGGGAAGACTGGGATTTGAAAATTAATAGCACAATATCTGGCAGAATACCTGGCTAGCAGAAAAGATCCGTTGGGGCTGGAGCGCTGGCTCTGTGGCTAAGAGCACTGGCTGCTCTTCTAGAGGACCTGGGTTTGAGTCCTAGCACCCTCACTGCAGCTCACAACTGTCATTCACTGCCCTTTTCTGGCCTGAACAGGTGCCGGGCTTGAACATGGTGCACAAACATACATACATGTAAACACTCATACAGATAGTTTTTTTCTTTTTCTTTTTTAAAGACTCCTGAAGACCAGATCTCAATTATAGAGTCTAGATGGAGTTAACCCTGCTTATGAGATGTGTCAGGCAGACTGGAGCTCAGTTCCTGGCCTCACTAAGCAGTCCCACCTCCATGCTCAGGAGAAGGCGGCTCCCAAGCCAGAGATGCTGAGCAGTCCTCATAACCTGATGTGCACAATGAAGGGTGGGAGCTAGATCTCACCCTCTTCCCAATACACACCCCCATCTAGTCCAAGACCCCAGATTGTAGGGCTATGAAGACTAGAAAGCAGAAGGGACAACTAGACAGCTCCTAGAATAAACCCTTCAGGTGAAAGCAGAAACAGGCAAAGGCTGGATAGTAGGAAATGCAAATTTTGTGACTTCTTGTATGGTGTTGGTTCCCAGACCCAGAAAGCAGGGTAATAGGACACTGAACCAAGGAAGCATTGAAGACTCGTGTACACATCTGAATTTTACATTTTAATATCTGAAATATTTCAGTTATGATAAAGTCCAAGAAAATACCACTTTCCCCACAGTCTACAATGCATCATTTACATTGAATGGGTCTCTAGTTTAATTGTCTCTGGAATAATAAACATCGGGTCATTATCCACGAGAGGAAAGGTGTCTGCTTTGAAGTAGACAGTAAAGGTAGAAGCCATGCATCTACAAATGCCCAGAGTCCTCTCTCAAATGTGCTAAGTTAATGTAAGATGTATCCAAGAGTAAATGTAGTGCCACCATACTGGTTCTTTCAATTTTATTACTGAAATAATCCATGGTGATTATAAATAGAAAACTCAGATACAACTCTTACAATTAAATCTAAATTATTTTAGACTTTCCCAACAATTCAACCCTCTTGCAAGAAAGCCTATTGCTTTTAAGTGGCCACTTGTTCTGTTCTGGGGGTCACAGAGCCGGGACTGCGCCTGCACGGCCTCACGTGTACTGCTTCACGCTCCCCAAAGTCAGTAACAACAGGCACAAAATTAGACAGTTACAGAGTGGACATATGTCTCTGTTAAAATTAGATGTGGGGAGGGAAGCTGGGGAGATGGCTCAGAGGTTAAGAGCACTAACTGCTCTTGCAGAGGACCCAGGTTCAATTCCCAATACCTATGTAACAGCTCGCAACTGTCTGTGACTCCAGTTGCAGGGGAATCCAGTGCCCTCTTTAGACTTCCGCAGGTACTAGCCATGCACACAAAACAACCATAAAATAAATTTAAAAAGCTGGAGAGGCCGGGCGGTGATGGGCACGCCTTTAATTCAAGCGCTAGGGAGGCAGAGGCAGGCAGATGGTCTACAAGAGCGAGTTCCAGGACAGCCTCCAAAGCCACAGAGAAACCCGCCTCGAAAAATATCCCCCCTCCTGCCCCATCCCACTCCAAAAAAAGCTGGAGAGATGGGTCCCACATGCCAGAGTTCAATTCCCAGCAACCGCATGGTGGTTCACAATCATCTGTAATGGGATCTGATTCCCTCTTCTGGCCTCCAAGGGATACATGGCAGACAGAGCACTCATACCTTCAAAACAAAACAAAACAAAGCCGGATCAGGAAAAATGGTGTATTCTAGAGTGCAAAGATAAGAAATGTTTGATTTTTAGCTGCAGGAAGCTGGCCAAGGCAGTGGTGCTTGCGAAACAATACTTGAAATTGCAGGCGTCTGTCAAAGTTCAAGTTTTGTGAACTTGTGGATGTAGCTTAGTGGTAGAGCACTTTGCCCTAGGGTTTTGTTGTTTGTGTTGTTTGATGTTTGATACAGGGTCTCACTATGTAGTCTTGGGTGGCCTGCAACTTATTATGCAGACCAGACTGGCCTCAAACTCATAAAAATTCACCCATCCCTGCCTCCCTCAGTGCTGGGGTTAAATGAATGTGCCACCATTCCCAGCCAGGCCCTAGTTTTGATACCCAGTTTGGTGGAGGGGAAAGCACAGTAAGAGAATAAAAACAGTAAAAACAAATTACTTCTAGAACCTATAATATCAGTGTTGGCACTAAAACTGGGTTCTGTTGTTCTGTGTGCTTGCCCTGGGCACACTTGAAAACAGGAATGGAGGGTGTCATCAGCCTCCTGGCTCAGCTCCCGAAGCTGTGTGTGCTCCTAGCTGTCTGGCCAGTGAACCCCAGATGTTTATTTTAAATTAGCAATACAGGAGTTCACGAATTGCTTTGTGCTTGCGTGGATTTTCATTCTGATATAGTGCAAATCCTATCCCCAGGGGTGGGGACTGACAGAACCTCTTCTGGGTGGAAACCCGGTATAAGCTTCCCAGGGTTCTCTTGCTTAGCTGTGATTGACAAGTCTGACTTGACCACTTAGATAAGTAATTTGTCTTTACTTAATATGTTAATGTTTTCTATGTAACAGGTGTTTTTGTCTTGTGACAAAAATGTATTTGTAATTTTTTTATTCTCCTGCGTGTTTTAAACACACTAGATAGATCTTTCTGGCAGGTGTTCACTTACTAATGACTGATTTTATTGTACCTTTTCCAACTTTTTCTCCCCTGGTGGCCACACTTGGGAACATACATGTGCACACAGGAGCCCGTAAGCAGGAAGGCTTTGCATCCATTTTCTGTCAGTGGAAGGAGTTTTCTTACTCGTGTAGTCCAACCCCCTAGTTGATGGTCTAGTAGAGTTTGTTAACAATTTGCAATGAATGTTTGGGGCTTGTTCGTTTAAGGTGTTGGTTGGTTTTATTCATGTATGTGCAGCTTTACTGTTTAACCCAGATTTTTAAAAAAATAAAAAAATTAATGTATAATTTATGTCTGTTTTCTTATAGGAACCTAGTTATTTGAGCATTATATGCAGCTTGAGTATTTTTATGTTCCTGTCACATTTCTGTAAGTAATATAGGCACATTAGGAGTGGTTCCTTGCTCACATCTGATGCTCCTGAGCTCGAGTTGTGGAAGTAGTTGTTACAGCTGCCTCCTTCTCTGGTCCTCTTAAAAATTTGCAGACTTGAGTCCCCTGGAAAGGTCTCACAATCATATACTGGCCACTGTGTTCATGCCTTTAGTTAATGTTTAATTGATGTTTTTAGCTCTTCCAGTTTTGTTACTTTGGAGACATTTAGTTCTCAGACCTGCCAAGTGGAAATCAATTGCTCTCTATATTATACAGCTAAACTCATTTCTAAGAAACAAAATTTTACAAAGTATTTCCAGCAGAATAGATTTTGGTATCTTAGTTAGGTTTCTGTTGCTGTAGTAAAAAGCAGTTGGGGGAAGAAAGAGTATTTTTATCTGAGAGTTATATTACAGTTCATCATGAAGGGAGATTAGGGCAGTGTGTTAGTCAAGGTTCTCTGGAGTCACAGAATTTATGGAGTGAATCTCTATATATAAAAGGGAATTTATTGGAATGACTTCCAGGCTGCAGTCCAGCTAATCCAGTAATGATTGACTGTGAATAGAAAGTTCAAGAATCTAGTAGCTGCTCAGTCTGTAAGGCTGAATGTCTCAGCTGGTCTTCTATATATGTTGGAATCCTGAAAAAGTAGGCTCCCATGCCAGTGAAGGAATGGATTGTTGGCAAGACAAGGGCAGGCAGGTGAATAACTGAA